GGGGTTAGTTATACTGACCCGTTGTAAACTCTACTCTGTAATCATTTTGCACTACCGCTCACAGGATGAGAATGGGGTGCACAATAAAGTAGTCGCTGTGAGTGGAAATATAAAAAATAAATTCGGTGAATTTTTCTTTATGCACCGGTTTTTCTCTCGCTGTTATTAACGTGTATTTCGTAATGTTTAGCCAATTTTAAGACCTTTTTTATCTATGCTACTTCAGCCGGAAATTAAGAATAACCGAGATATTAATTTTTCAATATTATTAAATTCGCTCAGTCACAAGTGTCGCCATGTCTTCGTCTCTGTGAGGAGATGTTATATGCGCATCACACATGCGTAATATTGACTGACGTCATCCAGTCGTGACCAATGATGTATCGATATCATCACGTGCATTTTTTTTTCGACCAATCACATTTGATTTTCTTCAAAGGAACCAGCCTGGGTAATTTCATTGTCCAGTCTGACAATGGCCGTGGTGGAGGTTGGTTGTCATTTGTGCTCCTACGATTATTTTAAGTTTATTGTCGAGTTTTACGAGAAAGACGATCATTCTATCAAATTCTTACGTATCCCTGGTCCTTCCACTTCTAAGGTACTGTACTTTCGGACATGGCGCGCCCCAAAATTTTTAACAACTGAAACATTTAGTATAGTTTAAGCTAGGTCTATCGCCCCCGGCTAGGGGTTAGGTTAGGTTGGGTTAGGTTAGATTATTCCTTTTCGTTTTCTCCTCCACCAAAAATCCCGATTTCCCAGGCTCTCCCCCCATTATTGTGGGAGGGGGGTGGGATCTCAAATACTAGTGATTTCCGGCGGAAATAAATATCAAATTCGTTCGAAACTCCTCAAATATCATTAGAAAAACATATTTTTAATACACAAACAAAGACCGGTACTTAAGTAAAAATTTACCACCAAATCAAAGAAACCTAACCTAACCTATTGGTTTGTTTAAACAATAGTGAAACTTATCTGCACCAGTTTTTTGCCAGTGTTAGGTTCGTATAATATTCGATAATTGTGTTGAAATATCGGGTTCACGTAATGGTTTAACTACTTGCACCCGATACACGTCATCAAGAGGATCGGTTTGCCAGTGCGAAAATCGGGTCCAAATACCGAAATCGTTATTTGCACTATCGGGTACAAACAGTTTATACTAAAATAATGAAAGACGTCATTTGAGATGGAGAAACAGCCACTTGGGATGACAAGTGTGTATTCATGGTTATAATTGTCGAATCAGTCACCTTAACTGCTGAATTACCGATCCAAATACACAATGTCGAAATTTTCCTTTAAAATCAAAATCAAACTAATTTATGTCGTTTCATAATGACCCTTCCTTCCCTGTTAACCTTGACCTAGGTGGGCAGGGCTTCATAACATTGGAAAAAAGTGGAATAAAAAACCTAACCGAAGAACCTAAGCTAACTACTGTGGTTATACCCATTGTGCTCATCCACTGGGTAATTCTTCCTCAAATACTGATATAGGATTTAGGTTTGTGAGCCGATGTTTGCTGAATAAAAGCCCAATGTTGTTTAAATAGTGAAATGGTCTGGTACGTACATGGAACTAGGACCCGGCTGCTGAGGTATGGTTGCCGATGACCGTCAGGAGCCGCGGTGTCCTCCTCCACCACACGGGAGCACTCCTTTACACACAACATCCTCAGACATGTGCACATCACCTGAGTTGTACACACTAGTCGCTCCCACCCTCAGGCACGACTCCTCACCAGTACAGGGTGGGCTCAGACACACCGGCCAGCATAAAGTTCCACAAACACCAGAATGACACCACCGCCACCCGCCGTACACTCTCTTGTTTCTTCCCTGTGGTGTAAACTTTAGATTAGCTCAGAGCAATGGGGGTTAAATAATGTGAGGAAAGTGCGGCGCTCTTCAAGAGTAGCCCGGGCGTACTCTGAGGGTGGCCAATTACCCTTTATCAGTACGACTTTTACACCGGGTAAATCCCGCCATCTAGTTCGTGAGCACGGTACTAAATTAGAAAACGTTTCAGGAGTAACTGCTTTAAAACTCGTGACACTACTGTATTTCTCGCCTACACCCCTATACTGCCATCAGTATGAGACGTTTCATTTATTATTAATTAGAATAATGCAATTCATTATGTACTATACCATATGCCATGCTGGGACTCAGTCAATACAGGCAATGCAATCTGAGATAAATGATTTATATATAGTAGTGTTACTTCACTCCCATATACAGTGACTTGTTCATACTGTAAGTGTGGGGCAACGTCTCATATGGTTGTGTTTTCAGTTATCATTATTACTAATGGCTCCTTTGTGTTCACAATCATTCAAAGTACATAAACTGAGAATCTTGTGTCCCCTTTATACTGACAGATTAGTTTGCTTGCACTACAAAACCATCCCCCAAAAATGTCTGGGGGTAATACATTATAATGAAATTTAAGTTAAAAAAACAGTAGTATACGAATATTTATTTTTATTACAAGAAGTGTCAGACAAACACAAGCACAACTGTTTCTTAACACATGAAGTAAACATTCAAATGTTTCAGTTGTGGAGGAGAGCTGCGTGGTTTGAATGAATCCGGGGTGAAGTGTTGGCTGCAAAGAACAAAACTCCTGTTGAGTTTTGAGAGTGACTTATTTACAAACAGTTGTGCAACCTGTAACAACTTTTAACATCTGCAAGGAGGGGAAGGTGTCATTAAAGAGAAATCTAATTACACTATTGCAAGGATTGTTCTTCATTGTTATTTTATTGGGTAAAATTGCATTTTCATCCACACACTTGTTTCAACATGGACATTTTTCTGTGTGTGTTTTTATGGGTATCAAACGATTTTGACCTTCATTGCTTCGTAAAAATAGAGCGTTTGACCCCAAATCATTACGTTATTAAGAACTATTTTTTAGTACTATAACCGTGTTTACATAAATATATTATTTAATTTCCGACACTATTATGCATTTGCGACGAAAATGGTATAGAAGAAAAGTTTCTTTTAGTAGCCTTTTAAGTATGTTACACACATAAAAAATTATCGATTCTATAGTTGTGAAAAACTGCAATAATACCATTCACCCTATTTTGGGTCAAGAATATGAAAGATCACACCCAAAAAGGTCTGTGATTAGGGCAAACTCTCTAATAATACCCATTTCTGGCGTAAATCATGATCCTACACCCTTCTAAATAACCTAACTCAATGTGGCTGCCTCTCCACCAAGCTAACTGCAATGGAACTATTTCTCGACCACGTAATTTACTGAACTAAACTAAACCTAACCTAACCTTGTCCTAATGGTAGGTAGGGTTAGGCCCTAACCTTACCTCATATGACTGATGCATAAGATGATAATAATAATGTGGTTCAAAACGCAATAATACCGTTTATTTTCCTCATTACCCTTACCTCTGTTGCTCCTTTGGGAAGGCTAAATGTTGAAGGGGATCATATATCGAAATATTTATACATTCATTATTTCAACCTACAAACATTTTATTCCTAGATAGCATATCTTTAGTTCCTGTTCACCAAAAACAAAATATAATTACTATATTTAACATTAAAAGTTTTCTCAGGGATATGCCATATAATATAAACGATGGTGCTGCCATCTGTTGCGTGAGGACATTACTAGAATGGTCGAGTAATCAAACGCAAAATACGGCCTTTACTTTTGCCTTTCTCTCATTCTTTAACCCTCATTAGCTCAGAGACATACGCTGGAAACCCTATGAAGCTCCGAACAACCGAACCCGACTAAGAAAAGCTCTTCAACTCTTAACATACCGAAATATTACAAAATAAACCAAAATACAAGATTTAATTGATTATGAATTATACAAAGAAATCCGAGGGCCCGTTCTTCGTCACGATCTTCAAGAGTGAAGTACTTTCCCGTCTGGTCCCCGAGATATGCTAGGGACTGTCAGTTGATTGAAAATATCCAAAGGAGGGCCACCAGACTGGTGCCTGCACTACGGCACCTCAGTTACCCAGAGGGATTAGAACGCCTGCAACTATAGACGGGCGGAGGGGCGACCAAATTGAAGTTTATAATTATTTCAGGGGGCACTACTCAGTCGAGTGTCCATATCTGGTGCTGGCGGAAGTCCGCCCCACTTGAGGTCACAGCTCAAAGTTGAAGAAGCCACAAGTCCAGAAAATTATGAGGGCAAACTTTTTTGGAGTAAGAATTGCAAACTCTTGGAACAATCTGCCAGAAAGTGTTGTGACAGCACCGAGTGTGAGTTCATTCAAGGCCAGACTTGACCAACACTGGAGCAGGTTCCGACACATTCAGGAGCCGGTGCATGCCCAGTACTTGCCAACAGTGTGTAACAGAGACGTGACCGACGGGCCAAGCGGCTAACGAGCCGATCAGTGGTGAAGAGGATAAAAGTAAAAGATTCAAAATATGGCGTTGCGGAATCAGTTGTAAATACTCCATAGACTTTATGAGAAAATTTACTAAAACTGAAAGATCGCCTTGATCAAACTTGAGGTCATGCTCCTGCCCTGAGTTCATGCACAAATTATGGCAATATTTCAGTAATTTCGTGAGTGAAACAAAAATAACATAGCATTAATGTAACTTCCAGGGATTTCACGAAGTCACTAGTGTTTCACAATCTAAAACATATTTAATCTATTTTGTCTCTCGTTGACGCTAACATTTAGGTATAAATAACATAAAACTCCTCTATCTTATTACGGGTTGAATATATTACCTGGACGATAATTAACAGGTATTATAGCTATGTATTATGTATGATAGCTATAACTAGTATAATTAGTTTTGGAATATGACTTGAAATTATTTAATATTTTAAGATTATGAGAAACGAAATACATCATCAATTCTTCAATACTTGCTTGGTGGTGGTGTGGTAGTAGTGTGTGTGTAAGTTATGGTGGTAGGGGTGGGTGGGGGATCTCCCAGCAGCAGCAGCAGGCGTGTGGCGAGTGAGCGAGCGAGGCTGGAAGTGGGTTAGTTGGGTGTGGAGCGACGCACCGGCCACACGTGTTGCTTCCTCTCCTCCGCTCCCACAACAAGTCCCTCACCGCCTCACGTGGCTCTTGGACTCCTCACCCCGGCCAGCTGAGAAGTTTCTCCTCTCCTCCCTCAGACTCCCACCTGTGCCTTCTCCCTGCATAGAGGGACTGGTTACCTCGTGCTGCGCCTTTTAACCACCAACTCGGCCCTCTCTCCTGGGTGCTTGTGGAGTTCATTTTTTTTATTTAAAGGTGATGGGCTTCAATCGTTGACGCGAGGTCGACGCGGTGTTTGTGTGAGCTTGAAGGTACTTTGTGAGGTGTGTGCTCGGTAGGTGGTGTTCCCTCAGGAGGTATAGTTCCCCCTCGTTGTGAGAGGAACCCCACGAGCCAAAGGAGGTGGTTAAGAATCCCCCCCCCCCACTTCCACCTCCTCCTCCTTCGACTAAAACGACCTGCAATCGACGAGGACGTCCCACGCTGACCCATAGAAAGTTGGCAGGAGAAATTAAGGACACGACCACTACACAGCCCCTCCCCTTCCTCATTACTCTCCTCTCCTCATCTCTCTCTATCCTTCCTCCTCTTTCCATCACTCTCGCTTGTCTTTCTGACCCTATCATTTGCCTCTCCCGCTAACCCTGGCCAAAAGACGCTGAGTCAGATACGAAGTAAGCAAACAAAAGGGAAAGTGATGATGACTGAAACTGGACAGAGTGACTAAGGTGAAAAAGGAGAAGAAACATAAAGTCCCCACCACCTGTTGTCTCCACCGCCCCCCCTTCCCAGAGGACCCCTACCGTCAGCTTACATGACTCACGAGGCGACCATCAGCCACTTACCTCTAAGGTCATCATCGCAGGGAATTCCGTGACTATTTACGGAAAAGAGAAGTGACGACGAAACTGTACCATCATCATTCCCAGTTTCGTGGTCATTGTCGCACGTTCCGGGGCTACTTGGATGATCGAAGCGAAGATTTAGAAAGAAAAAAAAAAAGGTTCGAAGCAGTGACGGTGTGTGTATGTGTGTGTGTGTGTGTATGGGTGTTAAATAAATACGTGTCTCAATTTAAGGACTGAAGGGGGGTATATGCAGTGTTGTTGTTTTATTAAGTGAGTGAACGAGACGTAACTGAACCTACCAAGCACGCGTCAGGCACTGTGAAAACTTGCCTCTCTGATCGCGCCAAATCTTAGAGAAACCAAAACAAAACTAAAAGTTCAGTTCAGATAAATGAACAACTAAACCAATATTTAAACTATAACTTCCTACTCAGTGAAAGGAAGAAAATCTATCAAGAAATTCCCCAGCTTAAGTGATTCCTAAACTCTGTCTCCTCTCTCAAACATTCAACAGAAAATCTACATCAAGGTGAAAATTTTGTTGTCTTGGAGGCGGTGGTGAACGCGGGAAACCCTGGCACTAGGTGACCCGCCTGACCATACCGGTTCTTTCCTACCACAGTAAAGTCATACACCCTCGCAACAGGAAGCGGAGGCGAGTGTGGAAACCTGATCTACTCTGCCGTGCCCTGAGGTGGAGGGAGGAGGGCCAGTGGACACGTACCTCAGCTGGTGATTGATTAAGTTTTTTTTTTTTAGGGGAGGTCGTGTGTTAAAAGTGAACAGTGTTTACAGTTACCGGGAGCACCATTCTAATTTAATGAGTAACAATTATATAACAGCCTCCACCTTTCTCGTGTTTCTTGGTGTTTGTTGAGGACTCTTATAAACGTTCTTGACAAACATTTTAACAATAGTGCCTTTAAAGACTAAATCGGTGGAGTGTTACAAACGTTTATTTAAAGCGAGAGTGTTACCAAAATCCCTTGATAACATAACATCTGTAAGTTTATCTTCCTGACTCGTGTGTGTGAGAAGAATCTGCGTCATAATTATCATAATACACAGAACAGAAAAACACATCGATTGATTTCCTCTCCTCCGACAATCAATACTCTTGTGTAGTATTGAAGAACGTCGAGAAGAAACTAAAGTAACGAGGATGAGTGAACAGATGTGATACCTTGTGAATGTTTTAGTAATGGTAATGTGATAAATCAGACGAGTAAAACACGATCGACACGCCCCGTTGTTCACACCAACGGGACCTGACAGTGTCGAACTAGAGAGAAGGAAGAAATAAATAAATATAAAGGAGTGGCAAGTGACCTCTACTGACCTGAGACAAAGCTACCACAACTACCACAGAGGCTACAGAGCGCTACCACAACTACAACCACCACGGCGCAAACTCTTGTTGGAGGTGGGGGAGGCACCTTACTCCAAGTGACCGATAGTATCTCCAACACCACCTTCTTCAACGCCACCATCTCCTCCTTCAACAGTAGTTCATCCTCTAACACTTCTTCTTCCTCCTCCTCCTCTTCCTCCCACTCTTCCTTCCCGAGCAGCTACTCCAACAACTCCTTCTTACTCCAGGCTCCAGCTCATCTCAATGACACAATGATGACA